AGTTTCCGCCATGAACGAAATTTGGGAGGTGGAGTCCGACTAAAGAGGACGGTGCTTGTGGTCGCTTAGTTTAGTTAGGGATCGCTATAATTGTTCCACAGTAAAAAACGAACTGCGAATCGTATAGTTACTGAGCCATTATGCATATCATCTGCTCAAACCTGGAGACTATCGAATACGTACGGTGCAACTTACCCAACGTACCACATACAGTTTAGCCTGCACTAATGCACGCTTCGTGCTAGCTAAAATTAAGGAAAGCGCAAGTAATTCGCAGTTACGCTTTCAAAAGGAACTTGAAATTTTACATAAAATATTTTGGCAAAATTTGTCTTTATGTACATGACAGTATAAAAAGCTATTATTACAAGAATAGCCATCATAACCATGCCAATATGGATCTTACCTGCCTCAATACTGCAACTGTTCCAAAATAATTCAGTGTCCTTATCCTGAATTGATCGATCACCAATTCTGAATAGAAACAGACTCTTTTTTAAGTGCATTTGCTAACACATTTTAAGATCGGTTGCAGGTACATTACCTCTTAAGCATTAAATTCAGTGAGTTCTGTCAAAACTTTATATCTCCTCTTGTATAATATTGGACCACCTAACAACCTAACGTTTCGTTGAAATATGTTACAGGAGATTCAGATCGCTGCTGGCTGAACTCGTGCCTTGTCTCACGACCCTGTCGATAGCTGGGTACCTAAAATTAATTTGTGTAGGCTTGTCAACTTCAACCTTGAGTGTTTGGGTGCTCTTAAGAAAGAATGTCCACGCTCAGCCTATTAATTCAACAAATTCTGACTTTCGTACTGACCCTGAATTGTTAATGTTGGCAATATAGACACCGGTTTTTGTTACAGGCAATCTCCAAGGTTGGACTAAAGAATTGCTTAGAAAGTATATCTTGGCAAGCAGATGAGGGTAACCACGCCAAAATTCTGTTAAAAATTGTGAAATTTAGTTGGAGAGAGTTGGAGCGTGGGTGAGTCAGTGTGCTCGATAACACAAAAAGACATGTTCATTCGGAATTGAATGGCACCAGTGACCACTGATTATCGTCAACCTTAAACCAATCGCTAATTATAACTAAAATTGAATTTCAGCACTTCGCAGTATTGATCTTTGGGGTATTGGCATTGGAGTGACAGTTCTTGAGTCAGGGTTTCAAGGCCAGCTAAGGCCAGAGTTCGGCAAAATTGGAAATTTGTTTAAAAAAGAAATACTTGACAAAGATATCATATGGACAATGCACCATGACAGCGCTAGCCTGTAACCATGGTGACAATTTTGAAAACTGAAATTGCATGAAATCTACTCAGATGGAGAACCTTCTTTATTGTTATTATTATTATTTGTTTTTTTTATTGTTATGTATTATTATTTATTATTTAGTTGATACCGGTATAAAAGTAAATTATAATTATTTTACACCATGCAAAGCTTCGAGTTTAAACCCTTAAAATAATTTGATCAAAAAGGTTAGCTTTTTTGTCTTTCTTCGGTGCCGCAAATTTATACGACGAAGTCACGATTCGAGATTGTTCTTTATAGTGAGAAGTGATGCCATTTTCTTTTATTGAAATGAGTGGATGAAAATTGATCGCTCTTTGCTATATACAAATCATGTCCAGTGACATACAAAATCAATTATTACAGCTGATTCTTAAGTCGTGGCACGAGCCGATTAATAAAATGAATTTACAAAGAGATAGGAATTGCTCTTACTAAAAAGAAAAAAACAACTAGCTTAATAACGAACAGCCTGCAAACCGCGAAGCTGAAACTTACGTCATGTTAATTAGGCCACTTTCAAACGTGGAATTTCTTATGAGTGCTGAACACCTATTTTAGTCGAAGAAAATAATTAAATACGGCAGTTGATTTAGACGTCGGATATAATGGTGCCGAATTTGAATCGGTTTGTTGTAAATATTCCCAGTCTCTAGAAAAAATTGTTACCCAATATGGATAAGGGTTTCTAAAATTAATGCATTACATTCGGCACATGTGAATCGGCAAAGTCGTATTTAATTTGAAACTGTTGATTCAGACGTCGCATGTCAAAGCAGTTACCTCTCGAATTAAATTAGGCACATGAGAAATTCGCCGTTTAAACTGGGTAATGGTAACAGCGTCCAGTGGTACTATAAATACCGGTAGATACCCTATGATACATATGGCATTTTTTATATCCCTGTAAATTTTGCTTTCACTTTACCGCATTATGTTACTAGCTATATGCACCGCACAGGTAAAAAAGAGAGTAAAACAGAAAAGAAAAAAAATGAGGTCACGAAAAATTTGCTTCAAGGCGATTCAAACCTGGACTCTCCGAATACGTTAGGACTAAAAATGAACGCCTGTATCCACTGGACCAACTCGATAAGTGCTGACAACTCAAGTTTAAAAGAGGTATATATTCCTTCTCTATGGTGATTGACAGTTTTCAAGGATGACTTTTACGGTTTCCGTGTAGAATTAAATCTTTAACTGATCGAAGCCAGACGTAAATCTCACAATAAACACATTAATACTCTTTCTGGCTTGGTCAATGCCGGGGAACGTTTAAGAAATTTATCAACTATCGATCTCGGGGCTACTGACTGAACCGGTATGACCGTACGATTCTCTCCCTGCTCGTGAGGTGTCTTTCATCGGTCGGGGAAAACATTAACACAACATTGTTTATCATTATTTCCATTGTTTTAGGTTAGGGTAGCAAACCATTTGGCTTTTAGCGTTAAAAGAACTGCTAGATGATATCTCTCCCCAGAATGAAGAAAAACAATATGGCCGCCAAATACATCCTTTTAGCTTTGAAAGTTCTCAGGTTATTAACAAACGTTGAACATTTATTTCGGCAAACAAATAGTTAAGTTGAAAAAGGATTTTACAAAACCCTCAAAAGTAGATCTCCTTTTGGATTTTAATTTGCAATATCGGTCGATTTACGCAACTTTTAAACTTCTGGTTCAGTTTTCATTTGCTTCTGTTTTGAAAATGGAATAATAATTACTTAGGGGTAATACAGTGTAAAGATTTGAAGAGAAAAACAACAAAAACTTGCAGATTTGTGGCGAAAAATGTAATTTAAAAACGAACCAAAATATTCACGTGACTGATGACGTCATGTCCCTCTTTTGGTAATGAAAAAAATTGTCAGGTAGAACATTACTTCCCAGCAAATTTTCTCTGTCGTGTGATGAAACGTCAACTCTCAAACAGCCCTCGGCCTAGTTTCCCTACTTTTTCGCTCATGTTCATTACCCCCTTAAATTTTAAATTCCGGACGTAAACTAGTTATTTTGAAATGCTTCACAAAAAAACTCCACCAGAACCTCAAAAAGTCGAATAGCTACGTTTTTTGGTACTGAAATTAACAATCATATACGTTTTCATGCTGTGCAAGTTGTTGAAGTCCCCTCAAGCCGTATCTGACTGGGTCTCTAAATCAAGTTTTAGCAAGTTAAGGTTTTAGTTGCCTCCAGGACTTATTTTGTACACTTCAGAAATATACCGAACTGCATCATTCGTTTCATTTATTGAAACACTTAACCCTTTCTCTGAAATACTGATTTACATATTAACATTGACCGCGACGATAAAGTCAAAATGTGGGATTGAACATCAGAGAAGAAAACATATAGAGAAATAGGTCGTCAACGTGTGACGTGAAAATAGCCAGATTTTGTCTGCACGGTTTCAATAAAATTTGACGAGTAGTGAATGACAAGAAAGGTCGGAACCACGACGTCTCCAGAGTCCGTCGTCCCTTTTGCCCAGTCATCCCCGGCGGGGGGGGGGGGTACTCACCTACATAAGCCATATAGGTTTGTGCCGCCCCAAAGGGTATTTTTGGTCTGGAAACGGGTATAGACTTTGCCTATTTTGGTCGGGGATCGGTTATGGTTTTCGAGGGAATTACGGGAGTTTATGAACGTATTTATCATCTCAGTTCCAAATGACTAAGCCGAGAACGAAAAATATGCAAATTCGAAATGGATTTTAAGAAATCTTTTTTGTTGCTGTTCTATGACATTATGGTTGATGACATTATTTCCTAGAGGCTAGTCTGCAAACGGGTGTAAACAGGGGCGTGGCCAGGATTTTTCAAAGGAGGGGTAACAGACAGGGACACCATCCGGGGATCGCTGACTATATATGGTTTATACCGCTGCTCTCCCTCGTGTATCGGCGGGCTCAGTCGTATTTTCGCGGCACGAAGGCCCATATTAGCTAGAGACAAGAGCCGTTGACGAAAATACTTTACAAAAAGACAGATTTTAAAAAAGTGGGCGTTTCAACAATGGCTTTTACGGCCAAGATATTATCATGGCGTTTTCGTCACCTGAATATTGTAGGTTGTTTGCCCCAAAAAAGGCCTACCAAGGAGGGGTCACGGGCACCCCAGGACCCCCCTAGCTACGCCCCTGGGTGTAAATAATGAAATTTTTTGGTCTGAAATAGGGTTAGAATTCGGAGAACTGGATGGCACACCCCCACCATGAATTCCCAGGAGCCCTCCCCCCCGGGCCAGTCACCTTGTTTATCACAGAGTGATGACCGGAAAAACAGAGTCTTAGCTGAAACAGAACCAAGAAAATGTCTATAAAATAAAACAGAATACAAGAAGGCTGAAACATAGTTTAGTCCGAGGAAGCTATTTCCAAAAGCTACAAGATATTCTGATCTTTTATTGCAGAGGATTTTTTCAATAGCAAAGAATAGACCTCTAAGGCGCCCCTGTACTAAAGAAGCGTAGGGATTAAACCCTTCGCTGTCACAGTCAGTAATGGAAAATCAACGAGTTCCGTCTTCTGAGCGTGTCACGACGATTTATTGAACCTGCGATCAGGCGTTTCTTTTCGCCTCCAAGACAAAAAGGGAAGAAGGCCCGCCTGATCGCATTCTCTTTTTTTGAGTGGTGTTCCTGTGCCACGTAACGTGCTAAAAGCAGATTAAACTAAGCTCAGCGGTAATTCCCATTGGAGAAAGGCAGCCATTTGGATAAAAATTGCTTTTGTTCCGGGACGAAATCGAAATCGAAGTATCCGTTATTTCACTCAAACTACAAGATCTGTCATCAACATACGTTATCCAAAAGGCAATACTTTTTATTTTCCCCATTATGTCCGATCGCTCTCGGCGAACCTCACGTCGGCTCGAACGAAGCTTGGCGAATGATTCCGAACCCCCGTCTAGTTCGTCAAGTAGTTTCAACTCGTGGACTGTTGTAAAATTACGTCAAGAGTTGAAAAGATTGGGATATCCTTCAACAGGCCTCAAAGCAGAACTTGTAAGTATCATTTGGGTTTCTTTGGGGTTTTGAAGGTTTACCAATGCTAGTTTGCTCGAAGTTTGCGGTGCCAATTGTTTGGAATTGTTTGTAATCCTATCTCATTTCCAGGTTGCTCGTTTGGAGCGCGCCGTAAAGGAAAGGATGCCCGAAGTTGATGCAAGGTTAGTAATATTAATTTTTATTTCCTTTTAACCAGTATGTTTTAACTTAACGAAGCCTCTGTGGCAAGGTTTTTCAAGGCATGCAAACTACATACATGACACACATGAATTCTTAAAATTATGGTAAGATCTCTCTAATCGATTTCTCAGGCGGTCGATTACGTGTCCAAAATGCACTGCACTGATTTCAGAACACAGCCAGTTTTTTTTTTTTACGCAAATACATGAACTAAATCGACTTATTAGATTAAAAACGATCTCTAATAAATGTGTAAAGAGGTGCATGCAATTTATTATTTTTTTAGTTTTGCTTTCGATTTGTCGGTCAGGAGATGCTGACTTCGAAGTTTTATTTACTGCTTTTGGTATGAGTCCGATCCTTGTTTAGCATGAGACCCACGTGCAAGCATATGACAAATTCTTTACTTTTACTGAGCATCTCGTCATACATGTAGTGTCCAGCTCAGCTAGCAGACTAACAATCATTACAAGTCTGGGATCAATAACACAGCCAATTTTGTTGTCAGTATTTATGAAGGCTTAACACTATTAATTTGCAGTGCTGTATCCCTATTATAATTAATTCCAATTATAATAAATATATTATAACAGTAATTATTATACTTTGTACTCACTATCTGTCTGTGCATTGGCTAAGAGCCTACAGCTAATTTTGGAAATCAGCGCAACCTACAGATTAGTTATCTGCTAGCAGATACCTGACTAATCTGTAGGCTGCGTGCGCAATGCATGATTTCCAAGAGCAATGTCAAATCGGCTCCATATGACGCTGTATTTGTTGTTATTTATTCCAAAACAATGTATAATAAAACAATAATTATTAGGTTCGGTTTTTGTAATATCTGGAATAATCAAGGGCCTCGGCCTTCGGCTCGGCCAATAACACTTACCTCGACCTTGATTTTTCCCAGTATCACAAAAACCTCATCCAATAATTGTTTATAATCACATTCTAAATAGATGTTGATGAATTAGTGCAAAAATGATAACAGCATTGGGAATACCACGATATGGCTGCCAACTGTCACGCAATACGAGTGTTTCACTGCTTCAGACTAAACACGTCAATCTCGTGCATCAAGGACAATTTCTCATGCCTAACTCACAAAGCCAGATGATATGTTCTTTAACACATGATTAATTACAAAAATTAAATTCAATATTCCCAAAAATGTTTCATAAAGGCACTTCACCTTATCGCAGCACACTGAAATGCCACCTTCGAAGTAGCTTTGGAAGTGCTCAAAGGTTGCCGGAACATCTTTGGACATTTTAGGCAACGTTTGGAAGTCTGTGGGAAATCATCAAAAATCTTTGACCCAGAAAAAGTTGGCAGGTATACCATAAATCCATGGCTGTCAATAAGGGCGGGTAGCCGGCCAAAACCGCCGGCTAGATAGCCATCCTTAGCTGGCTACTTTCATCTCCTTCTACCATAACTGCTAACAAAAGATAAGCAGCGTTGAATGAAATTGTAAAGCATCTGTTTCCCAATTTTGAATGACATTGAACACATATTTGAACAGGTTTAGATCTGTGAAACGTTCGAACTGTATGATGTTGTGGAACACTTGGGACATTTTGACAGCATTGTTCCCAGTCCTGGGTGTATTCCAACGAAAAAACATGGCGTCCGCAGAGGAAAATACCTCTTGAAAACCCTTGAAAACTCAATTGCTGAGACTCTAAATTTCAAAATGTCACTAGATGCCTCAGCCCTAAGAAACTTGTGCCTTTGGTGCAAATTCCAAAGCTGCTCACTACTCATTATCAGCCTGCTACTTAAAAACTTTTTGACAGCCCTGTAAATCCTGAGGAGTAACTGGATTTTGTATTATCACCATAAAATAAAAGAATGGAAATAAACTAAGGGATATTATTAATTCACTCAAAATATTCCACTGGTTTTGATTGGCTCCAATCACCTGGCAAATTCTTCAAAACTACAATTAGGGACAAAAGTAGTTGACACATTTGTTTAAAACAGGCGCTTTTAACAAACATTTAATTCATTTATTATTTCATTCCTTTTAAACCCCGTAAATCCCCTCACCGCCCCGAATCAATGTTGTCTGAAGTAAAAAAAGACTTGAGGGTCTAAAATTCAACATTAATTTTGGGGGGAAGAGGTTGGGGTAGACAGTGTAAGGGGATAAGTATATCCACTATGCAAAAAGGGGCCATTTTACGGAAGTGTGTCAACATTATTTTTTGTGCCTCATTGTAGCTGTGGCGCTTTCCATTATTTGGAAGATGTAGCCGGTAATCCATTGATATGATGGCTTCTTACTTTAATAGTAACCCATTGATAAACCTCCTTTTGAGGTGTGGCCACCTAGCTGTTTATGCCTGAGTAAACTGAAAAAAAAAAGTGTTTGTGGCTAGCGAAAGATGGAATAGCCAGATTTCTGACTTTAACTTAACAAAATAAATGTAAAAGTACACAAAAAATATATTTCAATGGATATCATCTACTTTTTAAGATTGTGTTAGTGTGCAGGGGTTTGAAGCAGTTGTTTAAACATTTCTCCACCCACCCTCTCCTTCCACTGAATCATCAGTGTGGCAGGTGTCTAATAATTATACATTTGTAGGGGCTTATGGCTGGGTTGTAGATACATTTGCCAGTCAAGGGGGCGGATTCTGTCTTGGGGCTGGCTGGAAAGCCGAAGCTCCTATTGGTAAATAATGGTCGACTTCTTGATCAGAAAATCAGGGTGCCCAATAAAAATTCTTCTACCTCAAAGAGAAGTACCGGTATGTATGGGGTATTAGCTGAAAGCGCTGAGAGGCTAGCCTAAAATTAAAAGTTCAATTTGTTTCTCTGTTGAAAAGTAAAAACCTTTGGTAGTCTATGAAGCACTTTGCAACAAAAGCAAGCTAAACTCTTGGACAAATACCTTGAAACACTTTGGAAAATTTTGCTACCTTTCGTTCCCCCCTCCCACGTCACAAGGGATGTGCGTAGATGTTTCAAGGATTTTTGGTGAGGATTGTAGGCTGACTGCTGATAGAAGCCCTGAACAATCAGGAAGCGCACCACTTGTACAATGTTCACGTACCCAGTAGACATTGTTATAATGCAAGCCATAGACTCCTAAACTTTAGTACTCATTATTAATTTGCAGTGAGCAGCTGAATTCCACTATTAAGTGTGAGGAAACAAGATATAGGAATAAAATGAAACAAGGTAAATTGTTTAACAATGTTGTGGATTTTATTAATTGAAATTTTTACATATGTAGTTCCAGTCATTGACATCACACTGGTGTTATTATTTTTAAGCATCTCTTTAAATTCTTTTTCATGAGACTGTTTCACCCAGTCCCTTGCACCCACATAAGTAAAAGGTGAAAGGTGAACTATTCTCAGGTTACCTGAAATTCAGGATCTTTTTTACCTATTTCCACTGAATTGTATCTCAGTCTAATCCTTATCAACTTTCCTAAATGCTTGGTGCATTGTATATTTCCAAACCTCTCTGATACAAGTGGTACTTCACAGAATCTCTATTACTTTTAGGAACATTTGTTCCCCAAGCTCAAGTTATTTGTAGAGGTGTTTGATATGTGGTGGCAAGACCGCTGTCAAGCAGGCATGGCCATATAAAATAGATTTATGACAGCAAAACCACGCACGTTGACATTTGGCGCAGTCGTAGACAGTACAATGTATATCTTAAAGATTAAGGTAAAACAACTAATCTGCTCTTTCATACAATTTTCATCTTCTCCAACAGATGGAAATGATCATATAACAACTAATCACACTACAGCAGGTGATGACATTGGTGAAGTCGTGGTCTTGTCAGAGGATGAATGGCAGAAGCAGAAAAAACTTGATCAGAAAAAGAGGCATGGTATAGTACTGTGGCGGCATCCAATTACAACCCTGACGTATTTTTGCTTTGAGCTGGGAATTCTGTTACATGACTACAAGGAAAGGTAAATGCACTGTAATTTATTGTATGTTAAATACATTTCTTGTAATAATTTTGCCCTTATTCTTCAGTTAGTGCACTCCACCAAAATTCCCACCTAAACTGTTGGTTAATTTCCTGTCAGGATTTTATATTTAACTAGTAATGAATGAGGCTCACATGAAGAATTATGGAGATCGAGGAGGGTGTTAGCAACCTCGGCCTTCAGCTCAGCTGATAACACTTACCTCAACCTTGATTGTTGTGGATATCTCTAAAACCTCATTCAATAATATTATATGTTTGTTATTAACAAAATGAACTAATAAATTATAAGACATCTGTGACACAGTGCCTTTTTTTATTATAAATGTAATGGTGAATGGCAGCAGACAATGACATCTATGACTTTGAAAAAAACAACTTAAACGTTTAATCATACACAAGTCGTCCCTGAATGACTCACAAGTATTGTACAAATAACCATCACAAGTATTTATTAGAATCGCTGTGATAGAAATTGATTAATGTGAGAAAACTTAAAAAAAAACAGGTTATATAAACACTTGAGAAACTTGAGCAAAAGTTGAGGTTATTTCACGGTGGCCTCGTGCGCGCCAATGATGTGGTCCCTGTGTGCATGCTCCTGATAAACAAAGGTGAAACCCGCTGGTCAGAATACCAGCGGCGACAAATAAAGGTATTATTAATTATTTATTCACAACTCACATATTACATGATACTAGGCGAGCTTTGTTTGAAAGGTTGCTCATAAATAATATCATCCACCCCTAGCTGTTGTGGTGTTCTTTTCTTCTCATGGAAAGCTCAGAAAATTAAAATAGAATGGTTATAAATTAGATGTTACTCCTGATCAAATTAATGCAACAAACATTTGCGAAAAATAACAAGAAACGTTTTGAAACATGCATGAAGACAACATTTTGCTGGAGTTTAAGCACTTGTAAATGTATGAGTACTTTTTTTAGTTTAAACATCTATTTTCTTGCTTTTTTAAAACTTTTCAGAACACTGAAACACAGGAAGACTGTTTCGTCAGTAGTTGTTATCTCCATTTTAACGATTCTTGCCTATAATTTCGATGGGGCACATCAAGAGGTACAAACTACTTAATTACAAGTACTTTAGTTCTTGCAGGACTTATGTTTTATCAATAATATTATCAACGCATCTGAAGCTCACTCAACAGAGTCTCTAGTAAGCATAAAGCTCCTTTTATGGCCATCTAAACTATTTGAACTCTCTGCTTACAAATTTATTCCTGTTAGCAGCCATCCCTAATATTGGAGCACTTTGAATAGTGGGCAATTCCAGAAAATATCTGTTGTGGTTCAATTTTGTCCTTGGATTAAATGATAATGAGTTTAAGAAAAAGGGAAATAAAAATTAAACCAAGGATAAAATAGACCTATTCAGCTAAGTCGATGTTGTACCCAATTCAAATCTCCCAGCCTGTTTAAGATTCTTTGTGTATTGTATTTGCATTGTAATGTGGCATTCACATTTAAATGACATGCAGATTCCTAAAACAAAACATTTTATTCCCAAAGGTTTGAATTAGGTACAACATTGAGTTAGCCGAATAGATCTAGTGAACCACAACTGTCCATATTATAACATGGATGGCTTTTATATTTTAACCCCCCTTGCCTTCTGAAATTCCATAATCGTTTAAAATCCCTTCTCATGATTCGGATTTTCCACTTTTTCAACAAACCCTCAAATTTCTGGCAGGGTCATGAATATACCCAATTTAGCTTATTTAATGCCAAAATATTTCAAATGACTCCACTAGCTAGTACTGTACCTCAGTACAGCTGGTTACAATTAATGGAGTCATAATTTTTGTTAAAAAAATAGAGAAGTTTTCTTCTTACTGCTGTTCAACAGATGCAACCTGCATTAACTTTACATTGCCACAAACTGGTACAAAACATTAGAATAAGAAATTATATCTGAACTGAACGTGTGTACGCTTGGAAGACATTACGATCAAGTTAGTGTATGCTAATTTCTGCCATCTTGAATTTGAGCCTTTGGGGTTAGCAGTTGCTCCCAATCCCACGAGCTTCAAAAATTAAAATAACTCCCTAGATCAAAAAAACATGTTTTTTCATTGAATGGACAGAATAATTTATCAGGCTGCTTTTATGGGAGAAAAAATGATGTTTTGTAGCGTTAAGGCTTCTGGAGTGTGATGTACAGCCCACGTGCGTTTTGTCGGTTTTCTTCGGCAAATGAACACGAACACATGCTAGATGGGTGGGTGCTTGTCTTGTATCCTGCTACCGTGGGTGTCAGCATCTTCATCGGTTCTTACTTTATTTTCGAATCGATTATAATAAAAGTCCATTAAATTATAATGTGTTTTCAAGGAATACACTCTTGTCTGTCCCCTGTGGAAATTCCAGATCTTGAACCCCTCCATGCCTTCGGAATTCCAATCGTAAGTATCCCCCATGCCTTCGGATTCCCAGTTCAAAGAATTCCCCCTTGCCCTTGGAATTCCGAAAAGCCATCCATGGTATCGTATTGAGTATTTTCTGGAATTGCTCAATTCTGTATCCTTTAAGCAGAGCGGCAAATATCAGGCGGTGGTCATTGAATAATGTCTCACAAAATCTTAACCGTGATTGGACATGATGTCCGGACAAAATTACTACCAAAGAAAATCATTTTGCAGATTAATAAAATCTAACTTGCACATACAGTGTATGTGAATAATGTTTTACCAACAATAATATTTTTGTATAAGGTGATGTACTGTACGACAGTAATCAGTCAACCTGCCAATGAGGTACTTAAAGTGTGCACATTTTGTCAGAGATGCAACATGCATCCTTGATTCAAAACTGAATCATGTGGACAATTTGCAATGCTTAGGCTTCTGGATTGATAAGCAAAGAAAGACCTTGAGTCCAGTAAAGCAAAAGCATGGTGGCCACTTCCAACAAACAGATGGTTGGGTGAAAATCTAATCTAGACCTGATGATAAGATTTTTGGAACGTCAGTTGAATCTGTTTTGTTGTATGGCCATGGATTGGAGAGGTGGACATTGATCACTGCTGTTACACAAGGAACTCTTAGACACTATATGAATGAGGGTCATTATATCCAGCAAAGAGCTCTATGGCAACCTGCCTATAAAGTCTAGTCCCCAGATAATTATGTTGACTGTAGTTTAGTGGCCATTGTTACAGAAGCAAGAATAAGATTATTACTTTTCAAGATTTTTTAAAGAATAAGATTATTTCTCAGCTACTTCTTTATGATCCAAAACATGGGATCAAAAAACACAAAAAGTGCAAGGTACCCAACAACAATTTCATAGACCAACAAATGACCAATGGTCAAGGGGGCAGCAGCAATATTCGTTCATGTCAATTACCAACTAGAGAAATTAGATACCAGTCTTTCTAGACAAGAACTGCCAGGTGTCATCGCTGACAGAGGGAAGTAGGGCAAACTCATCAAATTGGTGCGGTGTACACAAAATAGATAGATACCTTTTAGTACTTGCAACATTTAACGTAACTATTTCAGTCCTTAGTACAAATCAAGTCAGTATTGTTTTGGTGGGGTTATTGGGTTGGCCTCGGCATTCTCTCATCTGTTGGATTTGGCACTGGACTTCACACCTTTCTTCTTTACCTGGTAAGGGAAATAATTATCATTATTATTACAGTTGACTCTCTCTTAATGGACACCTCTATAAGACGGACATCTCCCTAAAATGAACACCTAGAGTTGGTCCCTACCTTTCTTTAATCCCTTTATTTGACTCTCTATAAGACGGACACTTACTGCCGGTCCCAAAGGTGTCCGTCTTAGAGGGAGTTGACTGTAATGCATTATCAAAATGTTAACATTAAAAATTTCTCTATAATTTTATAAATAACGGTAAATTTCAAGCTTATATCCAGTTAAGTTTTGATGGTGTCTGCTTGATGCAGATTTCACAGCGTAGATTAAAATTTTTGTCACTGTGAGATGTAAAAACTGGAACTGATCTTCCAGCTGCTAGGCTAGTCAAAGAGAAAAAAATATTGTCAGCCAATTAGTTGTTATGCACTTGTTCTACATCTACACTGTACAATAATTTATCTGACTGCATCTGTAGTCAGGGGCACCCAACGAGAATATAGTTCAAAACCACTTAAACATAGAATTGTTAAACATATTTTAGTATTTAAACGGTAGATATAGGCATATTGTAATCCCCTAAAAATTTTTCATCTGTTCGGATTTCTTAGCTGAAAGTCTAGTGATCCGAAAATTATAGGGATCAAAACTTAACTTTTCAAAAATTTCAGCCAGAAAAAAGGCTCCCGAAAATTCTAGGTGACCTTTTTAGGGTAAAAATCCATTAAAAATGGGCAATTATACCATTTTTTAGATGTTCGAAAATCCTAGGAGAGGCAGGCAAGCAAGAAATTTTACAACAAATGTTCTGAAAATTCTAGCTCTCAAATCGTCTTCCGAACAGATACTTTTCTGAAAATTGTCGTTGGGTGCCCCTGTGTAGTGTTTGTGAGTTCCCACACAAAAGGAAAGCAGAGTCGAAGTGTTGATGTTTATATCAAGGTAGGTACGTGGATGGTCTGTCTCCTCAAAAGAAAAAAAAAGAAACACTGCGATTTCTTGTTTCCGGTGACAGTTTTAACACCTTGCAGTTTACTGGGTGGAAATGAAAACTTGTAAGAGATTGTTGCAAGCTCTCCTTTCTTACCCCACCCCTCACACTCACATCTCCTTTCGCATGCGGCTCTTGTGTGACATCTTGTGACCCTTCCAAATGAAGAGCTTGCTTTCAGGCTAAAAAAATTAACTTTATGTAAAGTTGTTTTGCAGTAATACAATGCAACTGTAATGTTACATTGCACTCTATCATCATGATTTAAATATATAACTTTTTTGTTCCTTCAGGGACCTCACATTGCATCTGTGACATTAGCTGCCTGGGAGTGCAATACCTTAGACTTTCCTGAGCCCCCTTACCCTGTTGAGTAAGTTCTTTTCTGTTTTTGCATTATTTTAAATCCACATTGTTTTTAATCCAAGAAGGATAAAGACTGCAAGTTGTATACCGTAAACTGCAGCTTATTAGCCCTGGCCATGGGCTAATACAGGTACATCTTTCTAAGGGTTTTTTTAGGGGTTATAAAATAATGGAAAGGCTTATATTTGAAGGGGATTTTTATTAAAACAAAAAAAGTGCTTTGAAACAAGCTCTGACAGTGCTGATGAAAATGCATTTTGAATTTACTGTTTTTAAGCTTCAAAACGTCATACATTCATTGGAGAAGAGGGGGTGGGGGGGGCTTATATCCCAAGGGGGTTATGCTTGGATCTAGTTTTTAGGTTTATGGGTAGACAAGCCTTTAACTGGAAGGGCTCATAAGTGACGGAGCTTATAAGTGGCAATAATAGATAAGGGTAGATAATAGAGCATAAGTTTAACTTTCTCGTTGCAGCTTTTTCATAGTACATGTAGTAAAGATGTCAGCCCTAAAATCTCTCTGTATCCACAGCACACATATCAGGTTTAATGATGTGGAAATGAATTACCCTAATTTTTGTTAAAGATCAGGGGATGCCTCTAAATTACACCTTTTGTCCTTCATTAACAGAAAATAGAAATTCATTAACATTTTTAATTAGTAACAACATTTTCACGTAGAAATGTTCATTTTCATCATCTTTCGTTTTAATTGTGCAATTACCATGCTAATGCATCTTCAATAACACGATTGGAATGTCATTTTCTTTATTGTAAGGTCTATTACGTTTTTGGGAAAATGTTAATATCAGTAGCACTGTCATTTTATATTTTTTGAAAGTCATTGCCTACAAGTACATTACTGTGCATAACAAACCAAGTTTATTTTTATATAAACCAATTGGATATTTTAACATTCTTGTGTTATACAATGGATATAGCAGCTGGTGAGAATTTAAGTTGAAAAGTTGTTACTTCAATAAGCACTTCTAATTTTAAATAATTTTTCATTAATGCTTTTGTTATTTCTAGGATCCAGTGTCCTGACGATGATCACACATCAACAGTAAACATGTGGACCATCATGTCTAAAGTCAGGGTTGAAGCTTTCATGTGGGTGAGTCAATTGCTGGATAAAAATAATTAATAAAATTAATTCATGCCATTTGGCATCTTTGTTGATATGAAGTGTCACACAAAATAATGTTGTTCTTGTGATAAATCATTGCTCCAAGCACAGGTGACCCAGGCTCAGTGATAGTACCAAAGTAGGAATCCTGTGAAGTTACAGTGTTAATGAAAATATGTATATAGTGCAGTTAATTTTTTATTTCCATTAATTTTTGTTTTTCCTTTGATTTAAATTCCTTAACATACATTAGCATACCCAAAAACAATGGAAAATAAAAATTAACTGAAATTAACTTCACCCCATACAAACACTGTAAATTTCCAGGATATTTTATACTGAGGTACTATCACTGAACCAGGGTACCCGTGCTCCAAGCTAAACTTTTTCAGGGTTACCTGTGGTTATGACCTGTGTATAATGATTTCCAGAAATACATGAGAGACATTGGGTGCGTGAAAACAAACACTTTGTGCATTATTGCATAAAAGGTTATTTGGAAATAATCAAAATAGCTTCTAGAGAGATTTATAAGAAAACAGAGTGTAAATAATCTGTTCATGCACTGAATAGTACTTACAGTAACTGCAGTTTTTGGTTGGATTTTTGTAAAGTTATAGTACTTTTCATCCTGAATTTGTTATTTCTGTTTTGATCAAGTCACTGTTCACAACTTGTTTTGCAGGGAGCAGGGACAGCCATTGGTGAACTTCCACCTTATTTCATGGCCAGAGCAGGTATATCTTAATATATCAGACTGGATATCCCTGTACATGTACATTATATCTGTGTCCTATTTTTCTGGTATTGCTTGATTGTTATTTTTCCATGTCAGAACGTTTAAAACTGGAACTGGCATTTTCATCTTTTGTTTTGAAAAAAAAAATTCTGTTTTTGCAGGCACAAGTAGTACATGTATCCCAGACATTCTCAACTGCTTTTAAAAAGGCTTAACTAAAAAAAATCGCCATACTCTGTTAAATGGTCTTTAAAACGCAACTTACCTAGCAAAGTATTAAAGTACACACACACTTCTCTATTTCCCCCAGCTCGTTTGTCGGGAACAGACCCAGACGATGAAGAATTGGAAGAAGTAGAAGAGCTGGAACGTTTAACTTCGCTTAAAAATCAGAGTTTGTGGACAAAAATTAAAAAAGTTATCCTTGATTTAGTGGAGCGAGTTGGCTTCTTTGGTATTCTTGTGTGTGCCTCAGTGAGTACAGTGAATGTGTAAATCTCAATGTCTAACATTGTTATGTCAATTTTGGAATCTTATCTTTTTGTTAAGGCTTTACTTGAAATGTGGATGAGGCTCATTACAGTATGATATACTTGACCAGACTGATCAATCGACTTTTTGTGCAGCTGAAGAGAAAACAGCAATAAAACTCTCTTTAGGATAATCAATGTTAAAACATCCTTTGAACATACCATGAATGCCGCTTCATGACAATATTATTACACTCTACAGTGTCTTATTTTTCCGAAAATCGGCCTCTTCTAGGCGCTGATTCTCACCCTCTTTTCAAATACCCGTCCACACGTAGTGTATTTGAATTGTTTTTGCCCATCCATATGAAAACGCTAAAGCGATGCTGGGAAATATGATAGCATCCCGTACAGGGTGTGCGTTAAGCAACAATCTAGGACAGAAAAAAATAGAACAGCAAACCCCCACCCCCCCACAAAAAAAAAATCAAGGATGAAGCCGCGCAGAAGCCAAAACGCGCCATTTATCATCTTTGATCCGGGGGAGATGAGGGGATGATGATGTTTTGTCCAAGATTGCAGTAGAACTGATGATGTATGACTTCATTGTTTTCGACCATCCACACGTAAACAAAAGGCCGTTGATTTTAAAAATCTCCAGTTGTTAACAATCTCCAATTTTAAGAATACCCGGATACGTGTGTCCGGACGGGGCCTAAGAGTGATTTGTCACCCATCAGACATGCTTGCATAAACGTCCAGCCTATATGGAGAGACATTTGCCCGTAACTGTGTGTACCATTTCTTGATCATGCATAGGTTCCCAACCCTCTGTTTGATTTAGCTGGAATCACTTGCGGCCATTGCTTGGTACCTTTTTGGACGTTTTTTGGAGCAACACTTATTGGCAAAGCTGTAATAAAGATGCATCTTCAGGTAGGTAGCCATGCTTTTTTTCTTTTTTCATTCTGTGAGCGAGAAGTTTCACGTTATTGACTATAATTTTAGATAACTATTTAACTCAGTAAATAAATAACAAATAAATAAATACTTAATTTAATATCCTCTCCGCTCCCCTTATTTGGCTTTTTAGGGGTAATGAACCAATAATTCAAATGGCACATAATATGGTTAAGAATCTCAACTAGTTGGAGGGGAACCAGTTGCTTATTTACATGTGTGGCCGAGGATTTCAACTCGGGTCTACCAAGAAAAAATCCGGGTAGTGGTCAGAGCAGGACTTGAACTCGGGGCCTCCAAATTACAAGTCCAGTGCTCTAACTGCTCGGCCACACTAGTTTAGCTGTTAATATACCGGTAAACTCCAACAGCAAAGTGCAGATATAATTATTTATTGTAATATATGTTCTGAGAATGTAAACGTCAGGCATTCACCTCAACAAGTGAGACAGTAAGTAAATCAGGGTTGTCACTAAGGACAGGGAACTGGGCAGTTCCCCAGGCTACTATAAGCAGCGCCCCTTCCCGGCTACTTTCAGAGAACAAAAAAACAAAATGATAGAACCAAAACAATTTCCTAACTATTCACCTCTCCGCCTACTATTTACATATACCGAGCAACTGCCTCCCTTCCCCCAGATGCTCCTACTCTTTTCAAACAGCGTGCGTTCTCTTTTACGATACATTCTTTTCTGCTCATTTCCATCTCTCTTTTTGTTTTGCAGAAAACATTTGTTATTCTAGCTTTTAGCAAGCACTATGTAGAGGCAGTTTTATCATATGTAGGGTGCGTATTGTCCCTTTCAATTTTAAAAGTATGTTAATTCTTCTTTCATTTATATTTTGATATCACAGCTAAGAACAGTTTTTGGAAGAGTTTGGTAAGATCAAAAACAATCAAACCTTACTGCCATCATTGCTTTGGTTTCTTAAGATAGTGAGGAGGACGTAAATTTGACTCTTTTTTCTCGGCAAAGAGTTCATAAAAAAGCCTCTTCATGAACTAAGACAGACGATGTTTACCTCTGTTTTGCAGTAAAATACCAACAATTGGACCGTATATTCAGAAGCCTTTCAAGATAGCACTAGAAAAGCAAAAAGAAAAACTGCATAGGAAGCCAGGTCAAGGGGGTAGTACCACTTCGGTAAGTAAGATTTTTGTGCCAAGCATTAACAACTTCCTGTATATGTCGAGGTTTCTAATCCTTTTTTCAAATGATATGCCATTTTGTGTAATCAAACTCATCTGACCAGTCGTACAATGTACTTCACCATACTCCAAAGTTCTCAAGAGTGCAGTGGAAATGTTTGGAGTATTTGATAAATTTTGTCGTTGTTTTCGTGGCAAACAGTTATGGAACTGTTTGCTAAACAAGGAATTGAAAAATTTTAAATTACGACAAATCCATAAAAACCCTGTTCTTAGGCTGTAAGTGCTTCTTCTTTGTGCCTGTTCACTGTTACGGCGTTAAAACCCCGAAATGTTACTGAAGGTTCTTAGATTTCAACTGTCAACTTCAACTTTATTTGAAATATATTTGTCAACACACAACACAAAGAGACCGGTCCGTATGTAGCATTTGCTAATCTGAGTGGAACAGTCACACTAAAAACACAAACGATAGTGCTTATATCTAGTATTGTCACCAGAAGCAAATAATCTATTTTTTATCTTAATTGATGTTTTTATGCCTCGCCTCTTGTTATCCAAGGTTTAGAAACCTGGATATTTCGGTCGAACGCGAAAACCAAAATGGATTTCTTGTCTGGTACTTCCTCTCCTGTTTTTTGTGTTGTACCAAAGGCGTAGGTGTTTGTTATGTTCCTCGGAAAATTACAAGCAAACAAACATTTTTAACAACGTTTTCTTATTTTGCGGGTTGTTAACCATTCTCGGAGACCCAGGGGCGGTCAGTCGGGTCGGGATAAATGGCGGCGAAAGTTTACAAGAACGGGCGAGAGAACCCATGGGATGCTACTCTTGAAGAACCAGTTCCACTACTCATTGGAATGCTTGTCTCTGATTGTTTTTTTGTGCCCAATCGGAGGCCAGAAAAAGTATGAAATTGTTGCATACATAGTTAATGTATGGGGTTAAATGGAAATCTTACACTCTTCTCGAAGAAAGCTCTTGCTGTTCCTTTTGTTTAGGTGACGGGAAAACAGTCGAGTTTGCAGGTAAACTCCTTCGTATAAGATCACGAAAGCAGCGCGATAGATGTTGGCCTTCGATTGTTTTGCGCCCAATCAGAGAAAAGCATTCCAATGAGTCCTGGAACTAGTTCGTTAAGAGTAGTATCCCGGGGGTTCTGTCGCCCTTTCTTGAAAACTTTCGCTGCCGTTTATCCCCACCCGACTGACCGCCCCTGGGTCTCCGAGAATGGTTATTAACTCCCACCACACCCACAGAAAACACTCAAGGCATTTAAACAGAGATAATAGACTGTTCACAGTCCTCTATTTTTCCGTAAGATCATCGAGATCGAGAGCTTTGCGTTACGGGCTACCCATCTTGCATGAGTGTCAAAACTACCGAGCTATAATCCCCGACGCCCGCCCCCTCGATACATTTGAAAATCAAGATAGCCGTGACGGTAAGAAGCGGTGTATCTAAACGATCTTACGAAAAAATAGGGGACTGTGAACAGTCTACAGAGGTAGTAATTATTATTTTTGTCCTTTGTTCTCCGCAGGAGCCGAACATTCTTGCTTGGATTTTCGAGAAGTTTGTAATCGCCATGATTATCTACTTTCTTTTATCGATAATCAACTCCATGGCCCAGCACTATGCGAAACGTTTGGACGAGAAGAAACGGCAGTCACAGAAACCGGCCAAGGGAGAATAATGGACAATAACAAGGATCCAAGAATTTATTATCTGTTGCTGGGAAACTTAGCAGAGACCAGCATCCTAGTCATATTTCTTATATGATCGTAGCGTCATCATCACCGTGATAATCATCATTGTCATCCTCATTATCACCATCATCATCATTTTAGTGGTAATCTTCTTTGCCAGAATCTTCATCTCCCGTAACTTAACATCAGCACCACCACAACCAACACTTCCGTCGTTGTCATCTTCATCTTTACACAAAAAGCACTATTTTAAAGTTAAAGCTATGAAATGTTTAATAAACAGAGTAGTTGGATGATGTGTGTAGAAAATCTAAGAGCAAGCAAGCCAAGAGTCTACATAAACAGACAAACTATTTTTAACCTTTGTTTCGACTGAGAACTCAGAGCTGTCATGTAATGACAAAGAACTCGAACTTGTCACCTTGAAACTTGTCAACTTGAAAACCCACAGTTAGATTGCGAAGGAAACCACTTCCTTCTTCCTTATTTAATTCAGGTTTAAAAACAACGCGATACAGGGCGGGGAAATATTCTCGCCTTCGGGAAAAGATTGAAAAACCTCGGACAAGCAAGAACATTAATTTGAAACTATCAACTGGATGTGCAGTGTAGGCAGAGATTATAAGGAAGATAATAAACATGAAGTCTGCTTTCCCTTGTTTCTTGGGATTTTGAATTGTGGGATTCGCGCTTACGATTGTCAAACTAGGAAATGAGATAATCATACTTCCGAGAGGCACTCTGCAGGTAAAGTCCTGACATTGACAGATTAATGAGTCGTACACAAAGTAAGGGTTAGGGTTACGGTTAGGGTTGTTGAAATACATATTCAAATCAAACCCTTCATTGTCAGCAAGTCCTCGGTGGTGTTAACTCGGGTGTAGGGGTGAAAGTGATGCACTGCAGAGCCGATGCTCCGAGATCGACTCCTACTCAAGTCATACTGAATTTTTTTTCCTTAAAAATTGAAGAGACTTAGACTTTTATGAACAGAAATTTCAAGAGACTAGAGAAATTTCATGTAAGAAAAGTGAAATGTCTTGTGAGAGCCACTGAGAGGAAAATGTCAGTTTGGTGGATGGAAACAAGTGACACGGACACCTCGTTATTACGGACAGTTTGCTTTGTCCCTGGAATAAGAAAGCCTTGACATTTTCTCTTAATTCAACCCCCTTTTATGTGCACATTTTCTCTGGCTCCTCAGTGTCCTTATCAACGGGGTTGACTGTATCTGTAACTGTTAAAATGTAGCCTGTGTACAGACCCCTCCTCCCCTCAGTAAAAATCGGGAAGGGGGGAAGGGTCTGTACAGCTAACAGAATACAAAACAAAACGATCACAATTTTGAGTAAGTCATGACCTTTCAAGAAGAAATTTAATTTCAAACATTTTTCGCTTTGATTATAATTGGGTGTGTTCCCAGCTTCATTTAATTGTGACCTAAAAACTATTTTAAAAATTTTCCTGTTTTCAGATTCTTTGAGGCGTAGGCGAAATGCGTAATTAGAATCGCTATTATTAGTATTATTATTATTATTCAAATGATGTGACTCTCGATTTCTCAGTGAAAGTCATGAGTCCAAAAAAAGGACTCTTTTAAATAACAGTTTTTAGTTTCATGATGTTTCTTTTTTAATTTTCGGTTTCGACAGGAGCCAATATTTTCGACTGATGTACTAAGCTTTCGATGTATTTATAAAATATTTAAATTCTAGCAAAAACCGGAACTTTTCAAGTGTTCCCTTTTCCTTGGCGAGAATTTAAATATTTTTTAAATACATGGCAAAAAACAACTTACGTTTCAGGTATCTCGACGGTCGATGGCTTTGGTGCCTGTCTGGGTAAACTGAAGTCGGTATGGGATACTGCCGGTACTTACTGTGGTCGATACTTCCCACAACAAACTGGCAGTGGGTACTATTGGAAAAAAATATATATTCTTGGGTTGCAAGTGACATCACCAAAAATCAAACTAAGAAACTATCGATTCTTCTGAGTTTCTACTTTCACGAGGTATTACGGTACCTAAACACCTTTACACAAACAAATTTTCGGCTCGAAAGGGTTCTTCGTTTTTCGAGAGAGGACGCTTGAATTTCCAGGTTTTTGCGTGACACGGCATTTAGCTGGCGGCCGGGAAAGCTCTTGTGTGGTTTAAAAACATTACCGATTTTGGGAGATTTTGCAATCTCAACATTCCTTGTCTCAGAATAAATATTACTGTAATCTTTATGAGTTTCTCAAGCGAAGAATTCACGCATTAGTAGGAAAACTGGAAAACAGATGTTTCTATTGGTATCCGGCGGCCATATTGGTGTTCCTGAAAGGGACACCAACATGGCGTTTCGAGGGGGGCGTAAGGGTTTGCGGTGATGCGGTTTTGCGTTATTTTTGGTGCGGTTTTGCGGTAATTTTTATTTTAACTCGCGGTATTGCGGTTTCAAAACACTAAGCGGTTTGCGGTCATTACAACCTTTAAGTCGCGGTTTTCGGTGAAAAAAAAATGTCTGCGGTGATAACACTCTTTAGAACGGTCGGCATCCGGTTGTTCTGCAAGCGCGAGCCAAGTGTTTTGTGTTTAATACAACGCATCAGGGTTCACTATATCAGCTTACAATTTAACTCTGTGGTTTGCAATTACGGCCTTTTCCAGTTAATACTTAATGTGATTAACCGTTTTGGCCAATGATGCGTCGACTTCGTGAAATTCCGTGCCGGATGTTAGCTCGTACAGCCGTACAGCCTCGTGTTCTCGTTGCTTTGATTCAATGCGCAACAATGGCAACTGAGGTCGTCGAGGTCGCAACTGAAAGCGAAGAGGACGTAATAATTAATTGCGTGGCAATCTTCTATGAAGAAGGAAAGGAAGGGGAGAATTTCAGAAGAGCTGTACGTTTTAACAATCGTCTTCTCCACTGAACGTGAACTCTTTACGAGACAAGAAGGTCACAATTCCAGAAGAAACATTTATTCCGCGTTCCACAACTAGCACAGGGTCGTCCAAAGTAATCAGTCACCCAATGTAAGACGTACAGGATCAGTGACAGAGTTTTTCAAAGTCAAGGGAGACATCAATACTCGTTCAAGTACATGACCAGCATACTTGGCATTTGGTTAGTAGTAAATAGAGTATAATGGTGTTGTACAATATATCATTAGCGTTATGATGGTATGTTTGATACTAACGCACAATGTTATCAGAATATATCACAAGTCTTGCTGACGTCAGCTTTCATATTGTGGCCTACATGTACGCGCGGTTTCGGTAATCGGGAAAAAATCCGATGCGGTTTGCGGTTTTTTGGCGTATTTCTGTGCGGTTTGCGGTTTGCGGTTTTCGGACCCCCCTTACGCCCCCCTCCGTTTCCATACAAAGCTTTATAAATTTAGGTAAACCGTTTTTCCCAATATCTCGCATTTGAAATATTTCACAGACCTGATTCTTGGCAAGGGTTTTTGTATATTTATCTTTTTTTATTGAATGGTTTGCATTGTTATTTTTCATTGCGTGACAGTGCAAGCCGAGAATTTGCCCACACCACCCTACCCCCAACCCCAACTAAAAAAAGTACCAGAATCTACTCGCTTGGCTGGGCGGGAATTAAATTAATTTTATCGCTGTAAGAGGCATTTCAAAAATATCTCAAAGGCTCCTATTAAGTACCGCGACAGGTGAAATGGTGGTCATTTTGGCGGGGAGGGTGAGCAAAAGTTGGGGCTGATTGAGGGGGTGGTTCCCAACCCCTGATTACCCATGAGACCTTGCAAATTCCGCGTACTTCACAATAAACGCTGCTAAGTCATCATCAATTTGCAGAATTTTACTTTCGCGTTTGGTGAGAGCAGCTGGGGAACATCACGCTTGATCATGGCAGAGTCCGTCTTTGAGAAACTTTTAGGTGATAAGTTATCTGGGAAAAATGGAGACGTTAAGACCGCGGATATCGAAGGCGAGGGAAAGACGGTTGGTTTGTATTTCTCAGCCCACTGGTGTCCTCCTTGCCGCGGCTTTACGCCTAAATTGGCTGAGTTTTACAAGAAGCATCACGGAGAGAAGAAGTTTGAAATAGTTTTTGTGAGCTCGGACAAGAATGAGCACGAATTTCAAGAATATTATGGCCAAATGCCCTGGCTAGCTTTGCCGTTCTCCGATCGAAATAAAAAGGTAAGCTTAAGCTTATAAACGTTCGCCATTACTGTAAGCTTTTATTTTAGCTTGTAGCAAAGATCATTTGCGAGGTCGTCAGCTGTTTACGTCTTGGGTATTCTAGATTTCACTGAGGTGGAAAAGGCCAATTACCTTAAAAAGAGAAAACATTAACTGTTTATTAAGTAATCATAACAAGTGATAGCAAACAACTGATGCTGTAACTTTGGTTCACGGTCGTCTGACTTGGTTTAATATTCCAGTTATTATTGCCCTAGCGATATTTTTGCATCCCAGTCTCGCGTTGGGAGCGGATCCATTTGTTTTTCAATTTGAGTTTCGATGTTGCTTTTTTCCCGTTTTGTGGTTGAGGAAGTGAAATTATACACATTTATGAATTCAATATAAGCTTGAAGCTTAAGTTCCGCATTGTAAAAAGATGATTTCAGCTGTCTTTATTCAAATGCAAGAGCATGTCATCCACTCTTTAATTTATAGCAACAGCGCGCACAAAATATTTAGCAAAAAATGTTTTGAAAGGCAAGTCTGATACATATTATCTGTAACATGATGAATTTCATGCAGTTTATATTGGCCGGTCACTGTGATGGTTATGTCTGGTTCTACTTAAGTGCCACTAACTAAAGTGCATTATATTATTACTTGGTTGGGCCTGTTTGGGTGTCTCAATATTAACCAAGAGTTCAGAATAAATTAGCCTCCTATGCAGACATTCTTAGGAGTTTGTCACGCTTCTTGTCCCACTAATGCACCTATCAATGTTAAGCTGCAGGGGGGGGAGGCCGGGCATAGGCGGGGGATTTGAACTCAGATCATTTTTTCTGTTCAAATGCCCGACCCCAGGGACGTTATCGCTGGTCAAAAGAGTGCAAATTCCCCATCCCCCTCCCCTTCCAGAAAAAGGCCAAGGCATTAGTCAAACAAGAATTAAAATAGGGATATACAGGAATTATAAAGTTGTAAAAAGCAAGAAGCAACAACTTCAAAATGTAACGTCCGTTTAATAGAAAAATGTCATGTAATTTATCTGGAAAGTATATAAAAATTTGAAGACTGTCTCAACTGATACTATTGAACAATACAGCAAAACAAGGAAATTCTGGTATCTTATCATGAAATGTTATGCTACAGATAACTTTTATTTGAATTGACATCCGTTTATAACTCATGGCCATTATTCATATTTACATCACCAAGTAAGACTAGTTTATTTCAACTTCAGTCCGTAACACTTTTCTGATTTTTAATAGTACCAACAGACCTATGTCCTAAAGTAACTAAAAAATGGAACTGCATACTTTGTAAACAAACCAAGATGTGACATTTTGACTGGGTGATGTAATTATCTATACTGGCTTTTAAAACAGGAACGATGGAAATGAAATATTTATAACCTCTGATTTGATTTCAACCACGCATTAATTAACATCTCATAAATATGTATGAAACAATTGTATTAAAAAACAAAAAGAATATCGCAATATAATCAATCATGGCACTGATGACATAACAAAACGCAAAAAACGGCCCGATGGGCTCTTTAAGCGACAAAATTTCACAGATTTCTTACCTTCTTCACGGAAACCGAAGCAGCCTCCATTTTGATGTCTGCTGGTTACCAGGTCTCAGTGCGCCGAAAATCCAAGATGGCGTCGGTGGAGCTCAGGCCACTAACGGTTAAAGTCAAAAGTCCCGACCCCCGGGACTCGACGAATGATCAAAAGTCCCTGCCACGGGCAGACTTGTTACGTCAAATCCCCCGCCTACACCCGGCCTCCCCCCCCTGCGGCTTAACATTGATAGGTGCATAACTTCTGCTGACTTGAGTGGTAGAAAACAGAGACCAATCACAGCACACTTCCAGATCTGGGAAGTGCAGCTTGGAACTTGAGAAATTCGGCACGAGACTCAGCTCCAGAAAAGATCAGAAAGGTCTTGAAAGTGAAGACCCCCTACTTTCGGTTACAACATACAAACCTGCCGTTGCCTCACCCACAGAACAACTTTATGAGCAAGTGACATCTAATCCAGCCTTAACAAAGCGAAATATACAAAATGCCAATGCTTATCTCCTAAATATTCTTGTCCGGAGCTAAACTCTTTGGTCACATATCACACTCTACCTAACTGAGCTTGTATGTATGTTTTTGGCTTCTCAACACTTTGACTTCAACAGTGCCGATTGGTTCCCCAATAATCTGCACGTGAGCTCCAGCCTGATATTTGTGAACAATGGAAAAGGAATTTAACCACTCATTTCAGCAGACGTTAGTAGGGCAGGAACACATGACGAACCCCTAAGAATGTCTGTGTGGGAGGCTAAGAATGAATAGACTTCTTTAGCTTGTATGGGTCATATGATAATACTCAAGGGAACTGTTTCTTTCAAATTTCGTCTTATTCACGTGCATGTCTATGCATAATTTATGAAAGGACAGCAAGCCCTGGGATTTCACGGTAACGATCGTTTCAGGTACTGTGTCGTTACTGTGATCTTAAAATGATGGAACCGGAAAATAGATTCCCAGTGACATGTCCTGATATATTCAGACTGAGGTATCAAAATACGCAAATACGTGTATAGTAGTTTTCCACTCAGATTCTTAATCAGCACAGCAATTCTTTATGACTCAGCTTGTGTATAAACAAAATTTAAAAAAATCAAAGAAAGACTATCATCAACTCGTGGGTACGTTGTTTAGAAAATAATCAATTAGTTATGACCTCTGGTTTTCCCACAGTGAATTTTAGGAAATGATAGAAATTCACATTATAAATATACTATCCTTGTTCTGGAAACACAATACTTTTCTTGCTGTTTATTGCACTTTGGTAACAGTTATTTAAGTATATATTAAAAAAAAAACAGCAAAACAAATAAGCAAACAAGACAAAACAAAAAAGAAAAAAAAAAAAGGAAGAAGCGAAAAAGTAGGTCCTTAGCACGATTTGAACCCGGTACCTGCGGTTCGACCCGACCTCACATAGCCACTACGCCATTGAGGATGGTCACATAATTTGGCGAAAAGTCTCAAATTTAATGCCTTTTCCATGGAACTTCCGCCGGCAAACGACCGGGGCAAACGATCGAGCCATAAAAACGACTCGAAGCAACGGGATGAAATTAAGGCTAATTGAAACCAGGCTACTGACAGTAAAAAACAATGTAAACGCATTTCATGGCAATGAAAGAACGTATGCGATACAAAGCCAACACAAATCCTCCGCGAAGTAGGACGCAAAACATTAGCTTATGTTTTCTTATCTCGATTTCCGCTGTTATTTTCAAAAGGTAATGCTCAAACTCACATCCATTTCCCCCCGTGATCTTGGAGAGTCCTTAAGAAGAAGAAGAAGAAGAAGAAGTGCCTTTATTTACCATACATTTCACCAGTCCATATTTTATAGTCCGTATTTTATACCCAGTCCGCAGTCCGTAGTCCACAGTCCGTGTTTTATACTGACCGCCATAAATTCATTCATACACATAACCTACTACAGTACTACAAGGTAGGAGACAAGCCAGCGTCGAAGTTGAAGGAGTCGAAGAGCAAATGCTCATCTTCTTGTCAAGTTTAACGCCTGGACGGGTCAAAGGCTCTTGAATCGTACTAATTTGAACGATTCCTGCCTGTCTTAAATTTGGTAAGACCTCTATCCTAACCGTGCTGTAGCGCACGATGCACGCTTGCAGCGAGGAATTTGATGCTACCGAACTTCGGTGAGCGCGTGCTTCTTTGGAAACGATAGATCTTCGCGCTCTCGAGTTCGGACCCGATTAATTACGAAGTGCGTCTACTACGAGTGACTGAGTGACTCATTTGCATATCTCAGTCCCTGCAATAACTCGTGGTACACTCGCGCGTACCCACGAGTTAAAAATGAGACCATTTTTCTATTCCACCATCTTGAATCATTCCCAAAATGCATTGCATGTTACTGATAACTCATAGGTGAAAGATGTTTGACAGTTAACAGGAGTGATTGTTATGGCTTCCAGTGCGAAGAAAAAAAATATATGACTCCAAAAGTTTAAAAACGATTAGATTGTAGCCTTTTAGGGACAATTTCACTGTGAAACTGATGATGAGGCCCTAATCTCTTTATGAAAAGACAAAATCTGTAGTGAAGATTTCAAGTGAGTATACTTCTTTAGCTGGATCGAAGAGGAGTCTGGAGTTTTTGACACTTTAGTGCACACACATTGACATAATAATAGACACTGATGTTCTTTAATTTTAAAGTATGTTTAACAACATATTTCTGTACATTAAAGAAAATAAAAGTGGGTTCCTATGAATTTTCACGCAACCCAAAAATTGTTACCTATAGTTTCTTATGATCTTTGGGCACGGAACTGAAAAATTGTTATCCATGGGATTTGAAATCCTAGGGGTTGAAACAGGCTTAAGTTCCCCTGGGACCTCTATTTTAAAAACAAACCACACAAGCTAAAGAGGTCTGTTGACTCAGATATTAACTAATTCACTCTGGCCTCTAAAAGCTATCCAAGTTTAAGGTTTTCTGAATTCCTTAATTTTCTTGCCCACATTTTGTCGCTGTGTGCTAGGTACTATAACCTTTAGGTGAGTTCCAGGCTACGGGGTTGATCTTGGCACAAACCGCTGTGCATTTCTTATGAAAATTAATGCTGAAGAAAAGCTAGTCAGCACAAAAATCAAACATGAAAAACGATGCAGAAATTAATAATATTATTTCAAGTATTGTAAAATTCTGGTATTTACAGTATGACTGGAGTCCATGTTCTCTTCATGTTACATTTTCAATGTATGATAATTTGTAATTACTTTATGAACAGGAACTCCTTTCACAGAAGTTTAAGGTGTCTGGGATCCCAACATTAGTACTCTTGGATGGAAAATGTGGAAAAGAAATCACAAAAGAAGGCCGTGGACGTTTGTTAGATGATCCTGAAGGTGAACAATTCCCTTGGAAACCCAAAACAGTCAGTGAATTTTTCAAAGACATTAACCTGATCAACAATGCAGGGGAGAAGAAATCTTTTGCTGATCTGAGTGGAAAGGTTCTTGGCTTTTATTTCTCTGCTCACTGGGTATGTACACTATAAGATTTATAGGTGCATACCGTATTTATTTGGCTATAAGCCGATCTTGGCTGTAAGCTGACACCCTAAACTTTGAAGTTGTAGAATCATCATAACCAAGAGTGAAACATAAATCCAAAACACCCGGCTATAAGCTGAAACCCATTCATTACAAGACCTTTAACTACTCTAAATCATAACATTTTCGAAAAAAAATGTGACCTTCTCTAGGAAAATGCACAATATTATTGTTTGGGTTTTTCGCTGCAATCGATCTTTCCTCATGTCTTCATCGCATTATGCTTAAAATGATGACATAAATTGCCTTTCAATCAAAACAAACCACATCAGTTCGCGTTGCGTTCATCCATGCTTAGTGACCAGGCAAATGTTTTGATGTACATGTTTGACCAGACATGGAGGATTGTTTACACATTTCGTGACATCTTTCATTTGTTTTATACCTTCCCTCATTGTAAAAGGCTTACAATTGTGAGATTTTAAGTTCTGAGACCTGTTTTTGTCAGCTATTTGGACAATTTGGGACTGAATTTCTGTGCTTAGCTAACTTAACATTCAGATTTGTTGTTGGGTGATTGATTTGATCTTTGCTGCTATTTGCTCAGCTTATAAGCGAATGCATCTCCATTTAATAGAGTTTCAATGCACTAAAAAATTGTTTTTGTCAAAAACTCTTGGCTGAAAGCCAAGACTCCCTATTGGGCTCAAATTTCACTGAACTTTAGCTTTAATTTGTGTAAAAATCGCTTGGCTTATAGCTGAATAAATACAGTATGTACAGTTGACTCTCTTAATGGCACCTCCGTAAATGGACACCTAGAGTTGATCCCTTTCTTTCTTTACTCCCTTTATATGACTCTCTATATAACGGACACCTACTGTACATTAGGTCTCTGCCTTTCTTTATATCCTTTATATGACTCTCTATAAGTTGGACATCTCTCTAACATGGACACTAAGTGCTGGTCCCAAAGGTGTCTGTCTTAGAAAGAGTTGACTGTATTATGAAGGGGACATAGTTATTAAAGGGGAACTGTCTTGACACCAGTGATTGCTAAAGAAAATCATATCTTCAAAATAATGTAGCTATGATTTAGGCAACGTTAACCCGGAGACAATACCAGCGTGTCAGCGGTTGAACCCAAGGAAGGCAGGCTTGTGCAGGGTGGCTGCTGAGTCCCCAGGGGCTTGCATGTGATTGCATAACTCAGCTTTAATTTGCCTGCTTTGCTTTGCTTCTGGATTATTGTGAATTCATGATTTGCTGGTTTCTGCTACCATTCCTCCCACCCTTGGATAGGTTAATTATGGGTTGTGGTAAGTATTTCTCCGAGCTTTTTCAGTGTGACAGTGCTGAGCGATTGGCACTTGCTTGGTTGCCATGGTTACCTCCAAGGCATCTCATCTAAAGAGAAAAAAATGTTCCCAGGGAACCTCAAGACCCTGCTACAGCACAGCCCTGTTCCATGATGTTGTTTGTTTGTTTTTTTTTCATTTTTCTACATTGATTTTGTAGAAGTGACAAAATAGTTGGCGACCCAACAAATAGTTTTTTATTACATTGGGCGATTCCAGAAAATATCCATACCATACCACGGACGGCTTTTAGGATTTCCGAAGGGGAGGGGGGGTTCACGATTATGGAATTCTGAGGGCATGGGGGGTATTTACGATTGGAAATCCGAAGGCATGGGGTAACTCCACAGGTGGGATTTCTGGAGTAGAAAGTGTAGAGTGAGTTCCTTGAAAACGCTATTGTTGTGGACTTTTGTAGTTCGTAAATAAACCACGAACGTATGACCGCGGAAGCAGAAGGCAAGCATCGATAGATCAGACACGTGTTTACACTCATAACTTATAGAAGTGAACAGTAAAATGTGGGTTTCACATTAACCTTGATGAATTTCTTGTCACATGAAAAAAAAAATGGAATATGTATCTTACTGCTTGCAAGTTTCTTGTTACTCCCATCCGATGAACAGTGAAAAACTCTCACCAGTCCCTGGCTTCCAAGGAACGCCTGTCAGATTAGAACACTTTTCGTGCACACTACATGACCTATAAAAGGACGCTACACGCCTCGACGGTATATTTGACCACCGAAAGATTTTAACAGTCTGAATGTGAGCTATTTTGCTTTGTAAACGTCAAAACAGCACAAGAAAACAAAGAGGAGTAAAATTGCCGTTAGTGGTGTTTATTTTTATTGCCAAATTCGGACCTAAAAAGGAGTTTGCACAGCCTGTCTACTAGCGGTAGGTTAGAGTCTGAAAGCTTGTCGCCTGGCGCCGCTAGATCACAGCCTTGAGGAGGCATAAATTCATGTTCGTTTGTTCATATAGGCGTTGCAAATGCGTTGAAAATGTACTTCCAAAAAAACGGAAATTCTGAAGGGGAGGGGGGGTTCACGATTATGGAATTCTGAGGGCATGGGGGGGGTAACGCATTTTGGAATTTCCGAAGGCACGGGGGGGATAAAACATGGAAGCCGTCCGTGGTTGGGTATGGATATTTTCTGGAATTGCCCATTGTGGCCCACTCATAAGGACAGTCTAAACAAATATTTAAATAGACAGACAAAGTAAGAATCCCAGCTTTGGCTATTAAAAATATTATTTTTTCAAGTCTGGCTGAGGAGTTTAACTTGGGTTGCTTAGAACAATCTCAGCTAGTAGACCAAGTAGAATTTGAACCTTGGCTTTCCTGGTTGTAGTCGAGCTCTCAGTTTCAGTTTCAGTTTACTTATTTTCCAGAAAAATATATATATTTATAATATATACAGACATTCAAAAATTACAAAAATGATAGTTAATGATTAAAGAGACCTAAATTACAAGTGGAGGAATTAGGCAAGGCAAGGAAGCACAAATTGAAACCTTGGGGCTTCTTACATGAGCTCCCTCTCTAACCTGAGACTATAAAATTAATAAAATAGATAAATAAGTGGCAAAATCATACTGAGATATAATTAGGATAAAAAGCAAGCAAAACAAACAAAAAGCAGCAAAAACAAGTTTTTTTTAAAAGTGGCAAATCCGCTTATAAGAAATGTTTTCAATCTGGATTTAAAAAGAGAGATCTCGTAATCATGCAGCCATGCTACCTTCCACAAATTAGTTATTTATCAGTTTATAACATTTTCTCATTAAGACATGATGAGATCAACTCGTGACCTTAAAGTGCTCAATATTTTCGCCCATGTGCAATTAAGCTAAGAAGGAAAGCTCAGTTGATAGCATTTCTTTTTTATTATATTTAGTTTTATTCCCACACGAACACATCCTACTTGTTTGTTTAAAACCAAGTATGGGATCAACTGATTATAAATAGAAACCTCTATCACAGTGCAAGTACAAAAACCTTTAACGCCAGAAGATATTTCTGATACAATGTATGTGAACCAGTAAATTTGGTAATTGACAGATTTAGAGTGGCACTTGTGACAAAAAGCAAACATCAATTCAAGTTGAGAATGTCTCAAGATAGAAAATGAACAGCTAAAAACAGTCCAAAAGTGAAACAACTGTGAATCTTCTAAGGTCAAGCTTCTACTTTTGGTGTAGAGGTAATTAACAGTAAAGCACAAGTTAAGGGAAAACTTGGTCACGGGGTACAAATTCATGTTTGCCATTTGTTGTAAATGTGACTCTGAGACCCAGTTCAAATGTCAATCTTTTCATGTACTGAACCTAATCCCAAGTCAGATCAACATTTGAATCAATTAAGTCTGACATCTTTTATTTGGGTTGACCCATGAATCAGGTTCATGTAGCCTACTTTTTAGCCTACATGGGAATTTTGACTGAAGAGCAACCCCGGGGGGGGGACTCCCATATGAAACAGACGGGGATGCTCGTCGGAAATTTTGAATTTAACCCCTAAAGGAGACCATCTGGGCGTGGCTCAAGCTTTTTGTGATCCCTAAAGGAGACCAATCTGGGCGTGGCTTAAGCAAATTTTGACCCCTAAAAGAGACCGCTTAAAAACACACAACTACGACATGCAATGAGTTTTAATGATATAAAGACATAACAAACAAAGTTAAAAAGAAAATTTGATTTCTGTTTCTCTTCGCGTAATTCTGTGTTTCTTCGCGGAACCCTAAACGAGACCTTAGCGCCTTAAAATATTGGCGCTTTGCGCGGGACACCCTAAGCGAGACCAAAATCCAAAATTTACACCCCTAAGCGAGACGACGAGCATCCCCGTCTGTTTCATATGGGAGTCCCCCCCCCGGGAGAGCAACTTGGTTTCCAGTGTTGAACCTTTTATGTGCTGAACCTAAAGCATAAATTACTGTAATTTATTTTCATTGGTAAACACTGTAAACCATTGTACTTTATACTAAAAATGAACTGAGTTTGATGAATTACATGTAAGTTTGACATCTGAATCAACCATTGAACTTCCATCATTTGGGTCAACCCAACTGAGTTTGTTACATGAAAAGTTTGATGTTTGATGGGCCGGCCTGAGTCTCTCCAATGAGATGCTTGTGGAACTTTTTTTTGCAGTGCCCACCATGCAGAGGATTCACACCAAAGTTGGTTGAGTCCTATAAAAAGATAGGTTCAAAAGGAAAGCCTTTCGAAATAATCTTTGTGAGCTCAGACAGATCACAAGAGGGCTTTGATGACTACTTTAAAGATATGCCATGGTTTGCTATTCCATTTGGTGAAGAACAAATGAGAAAGGATATATCAACGAAATTTTCAGTCCAAGGTAAGAATCAAGTGGTGATAAATTAAAGGACACCGGGTGCTTCTTTTATGGGACAGTAGTGTGACAGTCCATGCATTACACCCCTGTAGCTAAAACAAGGCTTGAAATTATATAAATCCTCAGGTCTCCTTTTGGTGACCAACTGGAGAAATATAGCCGCCAGATGCAAATTTTTAGTCGTCGGTTTGAATAATGTAAATGACGGAGCTCATAATATCAGGGCTTCTGATATTTAGTGTGGTCGCGTAGCCACGAAATTCCGATAAACCCGCAAGATCCCGCAAAATTCACAAAACATACAAAATACCACGAAACTTGTTTGGAATCTTATCAAATGCATGTTGATACAACATATTATTTTAAACTTATCTTGTCTATTGGGGCTGTTTAATTGCCATAAACTTGTCTTGAAACTTCACCACAGCGAAGGAACAGCATCCCAAAACTACCAGGCATGAATTATGCCGTGAAAAACTGGGCACTAGTCATGATGTTAAAAACCTTGCCATTGGCTCATTTCTTGAGTGCTTTGTTGTTAGAATAGCAAATGGTTATCTCTGTTAAAAACATTAAACACACTCAAAACAGGGCAAAATAGATTGATTTATAGCGAAATTTGCCCAGAAAATTCCCACAAAATCCACCGTTTTTTACCTATTGTTTCTCGGCCAAGTTAGCCCCGAAAATTTCTTCGAATCTGTCCCTGAAAATCCCGCAAAATTTGACTTCCACCACCTATCAGAAGCCCTGTTGTGTGGCGTGATCCATCAGATTTGTTTTTTTTAAAATAACACGGACAGAAGTCGGTATAAATTTGGAGGTAAACTTGCTTTGTTTATGCGATTCGGAACATTTTTTATAATGAAAGCAAAGCGAGATAAGATGAAATGTTTGTTGTAACTTTACTCTTTTAATTTCAATCTAAATCATAGAGAAATCTGGTCGCCAAACTGGCAACTAGATCAGAATTTTTAGTCACCAAGGAGAAAATGTTAGTCACATTGGTGACTGTGTCAGTCGCAATTTCAAGCCTTGTAAAAAACTTTAACTTAGCAGATCATTCTCCCTGATCTGTAATTAATGTTGGTTAAATTTAAGAGTTACTAGCAATTATTGGACGACCTCAGTTGAGCACAATATCATAATTTGTCACAATATTTTGATAATAATGATAATTTTAATAATTGATCTGACAAATCACGATATTTTGTGATATTTGACACTGACAAATCACAAAATATTGCAAAAACCAAGTTCAATAATTTATTGTTTTATCATTCAATCACCGAGTTTGTTTTTTAATGAATATCTTTGTGAAGTGAAGCGATCTACCCTTCTCACACAAGAGCGATCGCGAGAAGGAGAAAGATATTTATGCATGAGCAGAATATTATTTGCAGCCAAACACAGTTGGATGACATTGCACATGAGCAGATCATTACTTGTAGGCAGTTATTTGCTGGTCATGTGGTGGGATCTCCGCCAATGAAAAGGAAGAACAATTTGCTTCATATGATAATATAATATCTCTTACATCCAAACAACTTACTCCCAGCTGGTTTGAATGATTCTTTGGTTTCACTTTTTCTTGACGCTTTCATAGGTATCCCTACTTTGATCTTGTTGGATGAAAAAGAAGAAGTGATCTCTACAAATGGCCGTGGTTTTATTGCACATGACCCTGAGGGGGAGGTGAGTCATCACAACTACAAAAGACACGCTATTTATAGAAGGACCAGTTTTTTAGGGAGGGTGGGGGGCAAGGGTGTTTGAAAGTACAGTTAACGGACAGATGTTCACATTAGCAACATTAGTTATTACCGGTATGTCATTATGTCGCAAGTGAACCAGGCTTTAGGCTGAAAGACTGAATTGACAAGCAGTGGCAGTCTAGGTAATCTTGTGTCTTTGCTGACTTGCCTAAGTATCTTGCTTGCTATCTTGAGAACATGCAAAAAAGGGCCCTTTCCATCATTTTGGCCTGGTATTTCGTATGAAACAGCACTTGAAAAAGTTGCATTATCCATTCTTTCTGACCGTCAGGCAGTCTTGTGTATTAAATTTATAGGTAAGGTTCGGCCAGGTAACCATTATACCCACTAATACACAACAGAGTGGTACCAATATCGTACCAGTTTGTGTCTAAGATCAGGGAGTTCTAGCAGGCCCATGGCCACAAGGACTGAACGTTTCTCAAATTTTATTAGTGTTAAATATTAATTTCGTCAATAAATGTAGCATATTAGTATATATATCACAGCTTGTAAGGTATCCTACAATTCAGTCTTCCGACTGCAAAAGGGACAATAAACCAGTGATTTGATTTGATTTGAGCACCACACAATAATTTACTGTTTACAGTCTATAGCTACACAGGTCCTTTGAATATTTGCCCCATGCAAAGCCCCTTGAATTATTTCTCTTTTTTTTTCAGGAGTTTCCGTGGAAACTTAAACCTCTGAATGTTCTCAATGAAATGACAGTGAGTACCATCAATGAAGAACCTTGTCTGATATACTTTACAGGTCAGTAAAACACTATAGACCCAAATTTCGGTTTGTATGTTTTGCTTTCCCAATTCAGACTGGTTGATGTCCTCAAAGGGCCTGAATTTACCTTTTGTCTACTAGTAATTCTCCTCTCTGGCTGCTATACATTTCCTCAATTGTACATCAGTTAAAAGAACTTGGAGTCACATCAAGATAACTTCCTCTGGCTGATACTTTTGCCTATTCTCATCACCTGTCTGCTGGACAGGAAAAGGTGTTGATATTAATCTATAGATTTAGCCAAGGCTAAAAGCAAAGCTCCCGCTCCACTTAGAGCTGAGCCTGCGATCAGTTGAAAAACTAGTAACGTGTCAGCGGATAACTTCAAAAGAACACGTAACGGCCTTGGGTTGACACCTGAGCCCGCGATACGTTCATGTGATACTGCTCAGCGGATTCCCTGTTTTGACAGCTGTGCAATAGAGACCTTTAGATTCTAAGACGAGTACGACTACGAGTACGAGATTTTCTCAATACTAAGTAGTGCACGCGCGTGAACCAGCGTCATTTTGGCGGGAAAACGTGGTAGCCGTCGTCACTCTACTACGAGTTTTAGCGAGAATGTCGAAGTAGCGGAAACAAGTTATAAAATGTTAAAAGTTTTATCATTTTGCGATCAGGAGAGGGTGCAACCTCCTTCATTTAAGGTAACAGTGCTAACTTTTCTAGTGAAAAATGGTAAAATGAAGCTTTCCGGGAAGTCTGTATTTTGAGAATACGCGAAAAAACTTGAAGTCAAATCTCGCACTCGTAGTCGTCCTCGTCCTGAATCTAAAGGTCTCTAATATCAGGTTACAGGCTCCCACATTAAAAGTATGAGATTTCACTTTGGTTTCCTTGTGGTGCGGACGGTCCGACGGACGTACGGTGACGGATTTACCAAAATTCCAAGGATGGATAGATTAGCTCCGCTATAAGGAGAGTTTGTATGCCATTCAGTCTGGGAGTTAAGGTGGCTCAGCTATTAATACAAGCGCCCTGGGCCCGTTTGCGTAAAACCTACACTTAAGTGCCCACTTAAGTAGGTCACTTACGAATCCGTTATGGGTACACTTACGGGTGTTGCATGAAACACATTTAGCTACTCTCGTAAGTTACTCTTTTACGTGGTAACTTACGGGCTCACTTAAAGGCACACGTAACTTTGATATAGTACTTTATTAATGACTCACTCTTTTTTTTAAGCTTAAGTGATTTAATGCAACTCACTTAAGTTACGAGGGCACGTACGCGTTGTTGTTGCGGGCGTTTTATGCAACCTGGCCCTGAGCTTTGGCGAACTTTTCGTCATAACTTTTATGGTACGTTTTAACGGAACAGCTACGAAACTTTGCAAAGAACAACAGCTATCATTCGGCAATAATGCTTATTGTTAAATTTTCAACCTAGAATAATGCATTTGAAGCATTCTGATTGGCTCATTCAATCTCCGTTATCAGCTCATATACGTTAGTTTGATCTTATATGGAAAACGATTACGCTAAGTGTTGCCAAGCTAAAAATTTTTCGCCGAGAAGCAAAATTTCTCTCGGACAAAATGGCGGAAAAATAAGTAGATTTCAAGAGCTTTCTACCGAAGAAATACATGAAATGCTGGAAAATAACATACCGGCAGCGACGAAAAAAGCCAAAATCTTTGGTTTGAAGTTATTTAATGATTCGTATTTCCAAACTTTCCTTACAAATTTAAAGAAATTATAATTTTTTCGTACGTCGAGATTTTAAATTCAGGATTATGTAACATCATCAACAACAACAACAACAACAAAAGTTTACCTTTAAAATTTTCAGAATGGCTTGCAAGTCCTTTCGGGAGTGAGTTTTGAAAACCATGAGAAGGAATGAGCAAAGAAGAGCTAAATGTGTGTTTGAAGAGCTTTTACACCTCTGCTAGAAAGAAAGACTACAATTTCTATGAAATCTATAAGAGCCGCAATTGACCGCTTTCTCCGCTCGCCACCACCAAAAAAAGTCTGTAAAGCAGTGTGGTGTAATTAAGGGTGTTTTTCCAGTGGCTGAGTGTGACGAAATATGTGGAGAATGTTTTTCTAACACACCGCTGTGGTCCTGGGTGTATAGGTTATGTGACCTAAAGGCAACCAGTTGCTTTTGTTACGTCCGCCATTACGGACTTTCCCACCCACCCAACCACCCGGAGATTTCAGTTTTGTAGGCTGTTTAAATGTACTTTTTAATTTAGTTAGTGTTCCACCTTTCTGGGGTTATGTTATGTCTACAGTTTTTATGAATTTGGAATAAAGATCAGACTGTGGCAGTCTGCTTGGCATGGCTACCAGTGGTGTGTGAGAACACGGTTTTATATTATGCAACTTTGTATGCTTTGTATATTTGTTACTTCAGATGGTGAAGAAGCCTCCATCAAAAGTGCCAAGGACATAATTACACCAGTGGCTGAACAAGAACAGGAGTGCGACTCACCTGTCGTATTCTTCTACTCCTTGGGTGATGACACTTCTGATAGCTTGCGTGACTTCATAGATATTCCTGATGATGATAATATCCTGGTAATACTTGATATTCCATCGCAGAAAGTGTATGTTGCTGAGGATGAGGTTTTAAGCAAAGAGGGTGTGCAGAAGTTTGTGACAGATTTTGCCGCAGGCAAATTGAAAGGAAAGAAATTAAAAGGCTAGAGTGGTTAATAGGGAGCTTAGGTAATCAGACGACCACGACAACGATGACGTCAAAAAACAATTGGTTTTATGAGCAAAACAACAGCTCTGCACGAGGATGACGCTTTTAGTACATTTGCTTTACACAATTACGACGTAAAACCACCTAATGCGACCTTTTATGGAGGACGTGAACATACAGCGACGAATTTTCCTTTGTCTTTTTTAACGTGGATAAAGTCCTTAAGAATTCAACTCTATGAAACATTTGACAAATTGAACGGCATGGAAATAGACTCGATGAAGATTGAAAGAACACAAATTCATTTTTTTAGCGACCTTTTCATTGACGTCTTCGTCGTTTCTTAAGCTCCCTAATAAGAAAAATGTGACGTCGCTGTCCACAAGGAAATATTTTTAATCTTTTAATATTTGCGTGAAATAAGGCTTTAAGTGATTATTGATCTATATTGCCAAATTCTCTTTTGTTCATAATTACATAGGAGCAAATTGAAAGGCGAATAGAGTAATTAATCAGAAATCACTAAGAGCCTTATTCCAAGCACTCCTTACAACAAATGATTTTACGGTCCCACACAAGAACCTTCCTTTTACCTTTTTTTTAACAAGCATGTGACTGGTAAAATAAACCTATTTTTTATTTTGAATTCGTTCAGCTTTCCACAATTTTTGTCAACTTTCCAGGAGTGAAAAAATGTGCCAGTTTTTTATTTCTTTTAAGTTGTTGATGAAACTATTTTTTGTGCCATTAAGTTATCAGTAGGGTCAGAAACTCATAAGGGGTTTTCAACCCCTTATGAGTTTCTGGTAGGGTAAATTATGCCCTTGTATAAGCTTGATATTTTCAAGGTTCAAGGTTTTATTGTTTTCAGGGGACCCTAACGTATTGTGCATTCCTATTTAGACAATGTGTTGTTACTACATTTTATTCTTACATTTTAAGTAGTGTAATTTATTAACTGTGTAACCAGCCCAGTGATAATTTATGAGGTGAAGTTTGATAGGATTTTCAAAATAGGTGTCAGTGAAGGTCTTTGTGACATGGCTATATAAACGTACCGGTTAACTCGTTTGTAGGGCGCTCCAAGAGTCATCTGTTTGACCATTGAAATTCGTGGTTTGCGGAGGGTGCGTATTTCTTAAGAAAAAATAAGCGTTTTTGTTATATGGCCAAGTCCATTTTCGCCATGCGATTGGTCAATTTGTGGTCCGTAACTTGCTATACGGACCAACATCTCGAAAGCAAATGCTCACTTCGTAACTCTAAATCTCTTTAATCTCGAAAAAAAAGGGTTGAAAGAAATAATAAGACGTCTGTCAATCTTGAGGACTGGATGTTGAAACTGAATCGTAATCTTATCGAAGAAGAGGATTCCAGTGAATTACTTGAAAATTTTATCGCAGTACACAGTTAAGACAACGAAAATCGACTGGCAGAGATTCGAGACGTTTTGCCCAAGAAAAACGAGCGATTCCTTCGATAAATATGATAACAAGCAAACCTGCACCTGATCATCTTGACAAGCTTCTTTGCCATTTGCAGTGATTTTTTTAAAAGACCAACGAAAGAAAGATGGAAGCGACTTCGAGCCAGACACAATATCCAGTTTTCAAAAGACTCCAGCGTCACATTGGCGAGCCAATACTTACAGTGCTCTTTTGACCGAAGAAAGTTTTTCAACATGGTGCATTTGCATTTTGATTTTACATTTTCAAAGGAAACCTTGTGCTATTGTTTGTGAGCCAGTTAAAAGTTTTATTTTCTGACGCCTGTCAACTGACTGTCAAATCATTTGTCCTGCACTTGTTTCCGGTTTCCTTAACCAGGAAGCCATATAATAAACATCTTATTAGCCTCGTTTTTCGTTCCGTACAGTAAATCACGGATACTCCTTTTTTCTATCGATTTATGCGCAAAGCGCGGGCCATAAATCGATGGAAAAAGTCAGGGTCGGCCTGTCATTATACCCGAAATATGCCCGAAATTCTCCCAAAGTTATTCTCCATATATCCAAACCTAAAGGAAGCCTAGGATACCATTACACCCGAAATCATTTGTGTTCTGGTAAAAGATACCAAATACTTCCACACCATGGTCAACCTTGCCATTACTATAACTTGGTCCAACTGCTCGCCCTTAGCCAAATGCGCTTTTTATAGTTAATACTTAGTAGTACAGCGTGGCTGCTGTAAGTGAAACTACAAGTAGCCTTAGATGGTGGTGGAACTCAGTGATTTCTGTCAATCAGTAATGTGGGCGCGCGAGGGGAGAGGGAGCTCCCTTTCCGCTCCCGTGTCTCCCTCGCGTGTCCCGTTCGCAGGCTGGTCCGGCTTATGCTTACGGTTTGACTGTGAGCTAAGCCTGAATAAAAGCTTGAATAAGAGAAACAGAGAACTTCACTCCATTTTGACATTGAAGGTCATGAATGTATTTTCCATGATATTGTATACTTTATAATGAGTGAATTATTTTCAGGAGCAACTAAGTCCGCATAGCCTACTCGTAACTTAAAAATATTTGTCAAACAGGCTGTTTTTAATGTTAGTATTAAAATTGTGCACGATAGCTGAAGTGTTGGACGTTTTCTTAGATCAGTGTTTAAGGCCTGCCCACCCGAATCCGGATATGCTTGAAACCGCATATTTTTTTTACACGAACCGGCCGCGGATGAATGAGCGGATTGACAGGTTTCGTGTAGACGAAAGGTCGATTCGTATATGGAAACTGTGCGGTTTTAAAAATATCCGGATTGCCTTAATTATCTCCATCGTGTTTTTAGAAAGTAATCGCTCGCTTCTTAAAAGTGCACTCTCCAATGAAAGTTAAGAAATGAGCTCTAAGAATAGACCGATTGCAAATATGGCGACGATTTCACCAAAGCGAGGCTTTTCGGTAGCAACCGTTGCTAAGGGCTGGTTGCTGTGTTTACCCGTGCCGTTGCTGGAAAGACTGCAGCTTCTCAGACGTCTTTTCCTTTAAATTCGACAAAAATAAGTCAATTTTCTTCGCTGAAAAAGGTTTCAATCTGGTATACACGCTTTGGATACTGTTTTTCTATGCTAAATTGAACGATAAACTGACGCACAGCGATCACAGACAGAGTCATTTGTAGCGATCGCGATACTTTGACTGCCTGATATTTTTCATTCATTGTATTTACGGTTCACATGTAATTATCATTCTAAAAGCTGATCTTCAATTTTTAGAATTTGATTGCATGCCATTTTTGCTGTACATTTATAAATAGTACCATGCCTGATAGTTGTTGTGTGCCTTTGTGCTGCAAGAGTGGTTATCGTGTAGGGCCGGATGGGAAAAAGATCACGTATCATTGCCTTCCATCGGATGCTGTAAGACTGAAGGTACTACTTTCAATATTATCGTTCATTAAACCTATCGTTTCAGATTTTTGATATTTCTCGATACGACATACATTTCAGGAGTGGCTTGTAAAAATTCGACGAGACGTATCTCCAGCATTTCAGATAACTGAACGAACCAAAATCTGCTCCTTGCATTTCAAGATAACTGATTTTCGTGTAACCTTGACTGGTCGTCGATATTTAAAGGACGATGCTATTCCCTCTATCTTTTCATGGTCGACAGCATCCCCTAAGCGAAAATCACCACGTAAGAGGTCACCAAGCGATTCCGTAGCTCATGATCACAAGCCATCCTGCAGTAGCAAAAATGACCGCAACTCGGAAAGTGATGTGGATCAAATCAGCCAGTTACGTATGCACATTGCTCAACTTGAACAAGAAAAGAATATGCTCCAACTTCACAATAAACATCTTTCGAAAACTGTCGATGAACTTCTCGCAAACCAGTTTGGAATAACAAAATTTATGGGTGAAGACTCGGACATCAACTTTTACACCGGCTTCCCAAATTATCAAACACTACTGGCTTGCTACAATTTCTTAAATCCAGGGGAAAATGGTGAGAACATTGTTTACATCACTAGTGCGAACGACGAGTTAGAGTTTCCGGCGTTTCCAATCAATGAGATTAACCGGGGAAACAAACCCGGCAGACGTCGGAAACTAAGTACTCTGGACGAGTTTTTTATCGTCCTTATCAGAATGAGGCTTGGATAACTTGAACTTGATTTGGCCCATAGGTTCAGGGTACATGTATCTACAATTAACAGAATTTGCATATCCTGGATCAATTTTCTGTACTTAAAATTCGGTCACCTCAACATTTGGCCAGACAGAGAGACAATAGATAAAGCAATGCCCCAGTCTTTCAAGGATAAGTACCCCAAAACAAGGGTTATTATTGATGGGACAGAAATCAAATGTCAAACCCCTTCCTCTTTGGTTCTGCATAGTGAAACTTTCTCTACGTATAAGAGTCATACGACATTTAAAGGTTTGATTGGCATTGCACCGAGTGGCCATATAACATTCATTTCGCAACTGTATGCTGGGAGCATTTCAGATAGAGAGTTAACTGTCAGGTCGGGGCTACTCAGCTTACCTTTTTCCCGTGGTGATGTAGTAATGGCTGACAAAGGATTCACTATTTCATATCTTCTGGAGCCCATTGGTGTTGGCTTGAATATCCCCCCATTTCTTGGTTTAAGAAGTCAACAGACCCCTTCAGAAGTTATTGCGACTCAGGAAATTGCGTCCGAGCGTATTCACGTGGAAAGAGCGATAAACAAAGTAAAGAATTTCCAAATTTTTAATCAAGTCATTCCACTGTCCTTAGCTGGTAGTCTAAATCAAATGTGGACTGTTTGTGCTGTGCTGACAAACATGCAAAATCCAATTATTTCATAGCATGTATTGTAAAGAGGTGTACAAGTACAGGTACACTAATGAAAACTCAAGTTGAGTTATTGTCTAGGGGAGAACGTACACAGGAATACTTGCTATTAAACGGTTTAAGTTTAGTATACAAAATATTGTTTGCAAATATTTCGCTGCATTTAAACAGTTCAGATCAAGATTCTTGTCAAAAATTAAGTCGACCTATTATTTAGCACGTGCTGATACTGCCTGTAGCTGTTGTAGTAGCAGTTAAAACGGTGCACGCTGTTGTTACAGCACATGCTCCAGCTGGCACTGCTTGTGCCTTGAAATATGCAGCATAGTGCTTAAAAAAAAATTGTTCCAATTTCAACAGCATAGAAGCAAAAAATTCAGGATCAAAATAAATACGTTCAATGACCATCCCCTTGAATGTATAAGTGACAAAGTCACACCACTTAGCCCCTGTAATTCCCATTTGCCGCTGAACCTGATAATGATATTTGTGCGTCGTCTTAAGCGATGGAAAGTCATCCTTTTTTTCCAGATGAAATTGACTGTCACCGGCACATGCTGTCTCAGGAGTGACATTCCTGTGTTTGTACGGACATTTAATTTCAACGATCCCGTATGGGCGATTCTCTGTTACGTCAATAACCTTCCCATCAGGTGAGCAACCGAGGAAGGGGAAGGCAGGGTTTACAACAAAGCCTGATGGAAAGGTCTTTACGGGATGTCCACTGTTTACAAGGTAGTTCTCATACTGTTTCAGGGCCCTGCTTTCATTTTCAATGCCATGCTTTAGGGGAGCTGGTACATTTCTTGAGTCGACAGGCGCATTTTGATCGCTAACAAGGCCTTTCAGGAACGGGCTGGTAATCGATTTTCGACTTAAAATTTCTCCAAATGTCGACGCTGTCAATCTTGGTTTCCTTTCAGTCCACCAGCGGCTACTGTTTCGTTGTGACTGTGTCGCCCTTTCAAGATCTGCAGCATTCTCTTCATTGATTCTTAGTGAGTCATAAAATTGATTATGTTCTGAAGAGCACTGGTGACGATGAACAAGGGGAAACCAAAGATAACGGGAAAGAAGGGTAAATTGTTCTAGGGACATCTTCACTGCTAGCCGGTTGCTTAGATAAGTCTACATTACACGTCACTTTAAAGTTCCCTTCAGTGGGTGCCATTTGATAACTGAGATACCCTCCCAAGGGTGCAAGACCAGCCCTGGTAGGTACCTTCTCACTTCCAGCATTCATGTACAAACTGAGGCCAAAGTTCTTGTTGACCTTCTTTAAATCATCCTTAAAGCTCTCAATCTCTGCATTAGTTGGGGCTGCCTTGATTGCAGGATACAGTGAACAAGTAATACCAGGGGGATACAGAAACTGAGGTACTCTCACCTGTACATGTCGTGCCTAACTTAGGTTTTTTTGAAAATTATTTCCATCAAAGGCTCCGATGATATATTTTTCCCTCTAGGCCTATGCCACTGCTGTGGAAGGGAGGTGCAAACCAAGTCATCGGGGATCATTTTAGCTTTTGTCATGGAATAGTGGGAAACTAGATACATTAGGCCTACGGCATGATTACAAAACCCCAAAGATCCAGCGACACAGGTGCAGGATGAAGCAAGTACATCGTAAGGTTGCTCTGTTGAGATCGCTAATCTTATTTTATGTGGGGGTTCACTTTTCCGTAGACTTCGGTAGCAAAGGGCTCTGAAATAAAAGGTTTTGCTCTCTTTGTGATTCTTGGCCCCGACGTTATGAAGGTATCCTTCGATAAAAAAATTAATTGACACCACGTTCAAAAGGCTTCATTACCATGTAGTCCGGGGAATGCTGAATGTTTTTACCGGAGTTTCGGACATATTTCACAATGGTATTATACGTGAATGGAGGAAGATCGTCCAGTAGTTGGTCCATATTCTTTTCAGAGGGACAAAATCTAAACTTTTCCTCATTCTCCCTAACAAGATCTGAGTCGCTCTTTTTGCTTCGAGCACGAAGTGCAGCGGCGGTCGCTTGATTATTTTGATCATTTTGCCCGCGATCATCTGTACACATTTGAAGTACTTCCTTCACTCTGCAGAAAAAAATCAACAAGGGACGCTAATTTTAAACTTGCAATCACTTAGAAAAAAATAATGAGACAAAAGACAAAGGTACATTTAATGGTTTTCAAGTCAGTGTCAAGTGTATTTAATCATATAAAACACAGGGTTAAAAACGCTGCCGGCTTACTTTGCAACAAGTTGGGCCTTCACTGTTAATCCTTTCAGGCTCACTTTCTTCCTTACAAGAATTTCTTTTAATTCCTTCACATGCATCTTTTCCACGGGCCTATCCTTTATGAACTTAATACTGTTCGGTAAAAAGAACATACAGTGAAACTGAGTCTAAAACATTTTCAAGAAGTTCAAATTCAAAGTCGGAAATGAGTACATCGCAATCGTGATTTTTCCTATCATCTACGTTCCGATTTGAATAATATAGGCAAAATAAAAAGCACTGACCTTTATTTTAACACAACAAACCGACGATGACTTCTTCTTGAAAGTTTTTTATTGTTTCCAGAGTGAAAAAACAACAAGATAGTAACGGACTTGCATTATCATTTGAACAAGCGACCAGCCCTTAGCAACGGTTGCTACCGAAAAGCCTCGCTTTGGTGAGATCGTCGCCATATTTCCAATCGGTCTATTAACTACAGAATACAGAACACGAAGGCAGTGACAACATTGTTGTCTAGCTAATATTTCAGAAAGTTCAGAGTGGCCCTGTATCTTGCAGTTGCAGTTACTACCCAGTCAGAGAACCCAACGCCTTTTTAACATACCACCAACAAATCCGAACGTCCGAAACTTTATCTTTTCGTGTGATGCATGTTTTTGTTTAGTGTGTGGAGAACCCGCAATAAGGCTTTTGTTTTAGCGAGCACGAAAGGAAATAAAATTCGAAATGGTGGTTGGTGTTGTACACTGGAGTCTAGACTTATTTTCAGCAATTAAACGTTTAATTGTTTCGACAGGCTCCCTTTAAAAGACATTTTTGACCTCTGGTTCTAGATTTTACAGATGTTGCAAGCCTGACAATAGTTGAATTCTACTTGCTAGGAATTGAAGCATATTCCAAAGCGTAGGGTTGGCAGCCTAAAATGCTTGTCTGCTTGCGTAACTTGGTTGAGATCTCGACACAGTTCGAGAAGGCCTTCGAGCAAGCACGCTATTTAGGCTTTTACTTAGGCCCTTTCGCGCGAAAGGCGAGGGGCCTAGCGCGCGTACCCCCAAGCGTACCCCTGTCCTATTGTCCCATCGCATCAGGGCCCAAATGTAGCCTTGTTACACAGCAGCTAACACAGCGTTCGTACTCATTCGAGCTCCTCAAACTCCACGACTTTCCAGGAATTTTTCCATGACCTTTTCAAGTTTACCATGACCTTCGGTTTAGCTATCACTTTGGAAAACTTTCCTTGGTACTTGGGCGGAGCACCAAGTAACGGATCCGCGACTTGTTTTAGAGTATTTTTTTTTACCTTACTCGGTTCA